GATTTGGGATTTCCTGCCTGCTGGAATGCGGGCCATTGTCCCAGGTGATGTTTGTCAAACAAAGGCTTTCCTGTCCTTAATGGGTCTGGCAAGTGATATGAATAGCTGGGTCGAAATCGGACCGCCCGGAGGATCAACAATTTCTTGAGTGGATCAATCAGTCTTTTATTCCGAGGCTCTGCTGACCCTGCCCTCCTTCGTTGGCCTTGCTCCGAAGACGAAATTGGGGGGCCAGCAGCATTGTCCATGCAAAATGAGTCAATCAATGGGTGATTTGGGGGAAAGAGGCTTGGGCTCTTTCCCTCAGGCAGTTCCTGGTCAGGCTGGGTTCTTGGGGTAAGGGGTCAAGGAGGGGAAGATACAGGGGAGTTCATTGAGGGATACATATTTCATAATTACAAAATACAGGCATCATCCATATACAGGCATTTCATGTATCACAACCCACCACCCATCCCAACCCACATCCATAAGGAAATATTTTATTTTGTATTTCATTTCATGGAAGGAAAGAAAGTCCAGAAATCCCAAAAATCCGAACAGAGGGGCTTGGATGCAGGGGCCAGCCTATGGTTTAGGCTGGCCGTTAGAAGATCAGTCCATTTTTGGGAACAGGAGCTGGAGCTGAAGGGGGAGCTACGTTCTGCTGTCCCGTCCTTGGCGGAACTAGCGCTCCCATCCGGGGATCGGGCCTTCCCTGCCCGGTCCCCACTTCCAAGGCTTCCTCTTGGGCAATCGGGGTTGATTGCAGGCGGCGGGAACCATGCTGGAGCGGGCAGCGACGAGGGGAGTGAAGCAAGCGGCAAAAGCCGGCGAGTTTGACAATCAGCTGGTGGCTTGGCCGAATTTTAATGATTAAATAATAACAATTATTGTATGAATGCAGGAGTCCAAAATGAGAAAACCAAGATAGCAGTTAGTCTTAGAATTGAGTGTAGAGAAGTATAAAATTTGAACGGCCCCGATCCGCCATGTTGTTGTTGTGGCGGATAAGGGGGGGCCATTAGGAAAACCTCCGTATCCACGATTTTAGCTAACGCGAATCCGGGGGCCTGGGGAGGCCAGGAAGGCGTCCCCAGTAAGCTCACGGTCCCCCAGAGCTCAGGAAAAGGTTTGGGGTGAGTTAGAAAGGCTGCAGTCAGTAAGAAGACACAAAGTATCATGCGGAGAGGATTCAAAGTTTCAAAACTTAAGTGTTTTATTGAGGGATCGGTTACAAAGATAGGGAGAGGGGAAAGTGAAAGAAAACTTCGTGCAGGTCTTTGCTTTGAGCTGCTGGCTGGGGCGCGTTCCGTCAGTCGGACCCAACTTTGCTCTACGGAACTGCGGAACTCCCTGCTGCGCTTCAAACCAACTTGAAGGCGGGAGACTCCGCTACCTGGGGGGTCATCAAGCTGACAGGCCAGGAAGAATGCTGAAGGAGATCTGTGTTTGAAGCAGGAACAGGGGGAACGGCAGGCCGCTCCTCACACTGCTTTCGGCCGGGATCTTGCTGAGACACTTTGAAGACCACTCGAAGCCCAAATGAGTTTAAAAGCAAGCACCTTTATTGTACTGCAGTAGAATAGGCGGACAGAATGACACTAAGGCTCAGTGTCAATACAAAGCTGTCGCGCCTCGAGCCCTCTGGCTGCGAGGCTTATATACCATTGTCTAGGAGTTTCCCTTTTTCTCTATCAGGTTACACAGATGGGCTAACACCTCTTTCGAGGTAAGCATCTGTGGGGTGTAGCTCACCACCAACAGTCCAAGACACCTCCCCTGGAGTAAACAACTCCCATAGGCATCTCTATTAACGTGACATACTGCATATATCTTCATCATATCTGGCCGACCACATTGGCTGGCCACAAACTGTTTCTTGGAACCAACTGTCATAACACCTGCCTCCCTAAAGAAAGAAAGACAGGCTGTTTCTTGATTAGAAGTGGAGAATATGCCCTTTTCTAAAGAATAGACAGAGAAGATGGAGTGACTTTGGTTCACTGTTTCTCTCATGTTGAAAGGGGGAAGAGAAGGGGGCATGCTATCTATACAGAGACTGGTACAGCATAGCACAGGCTATACCTTCTTACTTCTAAGTAAGGAATCTCTCTCCCTCCTGACAGGTCAAAGTAGGCCTCTTGATGGATTGGTGTAAGCTGTAAACTGCTCTTAGAAAAAAATATAGACATGCCTCTTGCATGTTGGAAGATAGAATTTGATATTTCTATGATGCCAACGTGATGCAGTGATGATATTAATGTATGTAGAAGCATGTTTCTTTGTTTGTCTGCATTTGAAGATGTATAAAAGGTAAAGTCAACACCTGTATCCTCACTCTGGTTTGCTCTGGATGAGAGTCCACGCCAAAGTCTCTGCTGGAAATAAACGTGCTTTTCTGACTTCCAAACAAAGGATCGCTCTTGGTATGATCTCTCCTATCTGCTGCTACACTATGAGTTCATAGTCTTGAGCTATGGCACTTCCAAGTGTGGTCAACTGCATTAATTTGACAGTGAAGATGCATGCTTGATCTGCAATTAGCAACATTACATATCATCATAGACTCCTACCGTTGGAAGACACTCCTAAGGCCATCTAGTCCAACCCCCTTCTGCCAGGCAGGAATACAGGATTAATATTATATCATAATAATATTATTATTAGACTCTGGTGGCGCAGTGGGTTAAACCCCTGTGCTGGCAGGACTGAAGACCAACAGGTCGCAGGTTCGAATCCGGGGAGAGGTGGATGAGCTCCCTCTATCAGCTCCAGCTCCTCATGCAGGGACACGAGAGAAGCCTCCCACAAGGATGATAAAACATCAACTCATCCAGGCGTCCCCTGGACAACATCCTTGCAGACAGCCAATTCTCTCACACCAGAAGCGACTTGCAGTTTCTCAGGTCACTCCTGACACGACAAAAAAAATTAGACTCATAGAGCTGAACGGGATATTGGTTAAAGCACTGAGCTGCTGAACTTGCTGACTGAAAGGTTGGCAGTTCGAATCTGGGGAGCAGGGTGAGCTCCTGTTGTTAGGCCTAGCTTCTGTCAACCTAGCAGTTTGAAAACAGGTACCACTTCTGTGGGAAGGTAGCGGTCCTCCATGCAGTCATGCTAGGGACATGACCTTAAAGGTGTCTATGGACAATGCCGGCTCTTTGACTTAGAAATGGAGATGAGCACCACCCCTCAAAGTCGGACATGACTAGACTTAATGTCATGGGAAACCTTTACCTTTACTTTTAGAGTCGAATGGGACCCCCAAAAGAATCTAGTCCACAGAATTACTATTATATTATTATCCATCATCTATTATTGTTAGTCCCATAGAGTTGAAAGGGGCCCTCAAAAGCCATCTAGCCCAAACCATCCTGACAGATGGCCATCCAACCTCTGCTTAAAAATTCCCAGAGAAGAAAGGACACTCCAATGGACTCCAAGGCAGCAGCAGATTCCACTGTTGAACATCAACCCTTGGCCATTCAGGTTGCATCAAACAACATTCATTCTACAACGTGGATGCAGATTTTTTTTCAAAACACTACAAGAAATAATGGGAAAAAAATCTCTTTTTCATAAACAGCTTGAAATGCAACTTGTTGCTGCAACAACCAACTTTCCCAGTGGCTTTGAATCACTCTCCCAAGACAAAATATTGCTCAAGCGCCTGGCATGGAGGTGGGACGGGAAGGGAAGAATATTTATATTGTGCCATACTGGGATTCCCAAATTGCCCAGTTCAAGGAAAGGAAAAAGCTGGTTGATTACTTTATTGTCTCCTTCAGTTGTTGTCTTGGCACACCTTTGGCAAGGTTAGGCAACCCTTCCCGAAACAGGTGAGGCTGCTTTCTCAGCCATTACAGCCATTACAAGTGCTTTACAGCTTTCTCCTCCTTTTTCAGAGCCTGGAGGTTGGAAAGAGTGGGAGAATGGGCTTTGACATCTTCCCTATAAAAATCCTAATTGCCAGGCATGTGTTCCCCTAATCCAAGCCATAAAAATGGCATATTGTGCAAACATGCAAATATTACGGTCAAGGAATGGCGGAAATCCGTTGACTTCACGATCAGCTGACCCGGATTCCCTGATGAGGTTGGATTGCGGTGACCTCCATCCAATCAGAGAGTGTTCCCCGCTTCCAATGCAGATTTCCACCCTCCAGTGGTTGATGGGGGACAGGATGGAAACTTCAGACAAAAAAGACATAGTTTTATGATTGGATTACAATGTCCCAATTCCGGGAAGAACAAAAAGGGGCCAACCCCTCCCATGTGTTTTATTGTTGTGATGATTGTCTTTAATGAGCCCCGACCGCACAGGTCTGGTGACTCTGCACCAGTGTCCATTGTGTTCCAAAGCAGCATATTGTCCATGATGATAGGATTAAGAATCTATTCCTGAGAAAGGGGAAATGGCATTGTGGAAAACGGGGCAGGCCACCCCAACATCAGGGGAGAGAATGCCGGGTGATTAATGTCCCTTCATGTCCATATGGCTGCACAAAGGGTGGGCACTTCAACTCCGAATCCTGTTGTCCCTTGTACAGTTGGGTCTATGGGGCCAATAGAGATGGACTGGCCCCAAGGATGATGGGTGCTTGAGTTCTTTGTTCCTTAAGGTGAAGCCCGGAAAAACACTTGAAGGGATTCCCAGGTCATGAGATGCTGATGAAAGGTCACCAAGGTTGTGACCAGTGGCATACTTCTTCAGAAAGCATTTGATACATGGGGATATACAATATCATCATCATATCATCATATTTAATTACTTATTAATCGCCCTCCATCCGAGATGCTCCAGGAGATTTACTAGCTAAATTGTAAAAGATAGAAATACATACATACAGAAATTAATGATTAACATAGATCAAATGCTCTAGCAAAAATCCAGGTCTTAAGTGCTAGAGTAAAAGGCCCCAAGTCATGCATGGCTCTCATATAGGGTGGCAAGGAATTCCATAAGGCAGGGGCAGAAATAGAAAAGGCCCTGCGTCTGGTAAGGTCGAGAAGTACCAGTAGCGCCGATCCGCCGCTACCAAACTGGCGTTGAAATTCATTTGTAATGGCAACCAGGACTGACTCAGTCCCATGGCCAGGGCGGAAATCTGACTGGAAAGGGTGTCAGGTGGTGCAATACCAGGTGTGGGTAGCAGCTGGGCTCTTCCGTATCTCCAAAGGTCTGCAAAATCGGCTTTTAGAATAAAAAAGGCTCTTGCTGGCCATGGCTCATCCCCGCAAGAAAATTTAAAATATTTGAGGGTCTGCATGCGACAATAATGTTCCTGGGAGTCATAGTTTTCCAAGGTCTGAGTGCATCTACACTGTAGAGTGAATGCAGTGAAGATATCTGCCCTTGGACTTTGCTACTCTGCTGCTGAGTACACATGCCCATTGTGGAACACTTCTCACCACACTAAAACAGTAGATGTGGTTCTTAATGAGACATGCCACATTATCACGGGGTGTCTGCGCCCTACACCACTGGAGAAATAACACTGTTTAGCCAGTATTGCACCACCTGACATCCGTCGGGAAGTAACAGTCAATAGTGAAAGGACCAAGGCAGTGACATCTCCAGCTCATCCCCTGGGTATCAGCCAGCACGTTAATGACTTAAATCAAGAAATGGTTTTCTAAGATCTACAGAGACACTTGCTGGAACACCTCAGCAAGCGAGAGTCCAAAAGTGGCAGGCTCAAACCCAGAACCTCAATCAATGGCTGATACCAAATGAGAGACTCCCCCCTGAGCACACAGAAAACTGGGCGACTTGGAAAGCGCTGAACAGACTGTGCTCTGGCACCATGAGATGCAGAAATGGGGCTACAAAGTGGAATCCATGACATGCGAGTGCGGAGGAGAGCAAACTACAGACCATCTGTTGTGATGCAACCTGAGCCCTGCCACATGCACAATGGAGGACCTACTTATAGTAACACCAGAGGCACTCCAAGTGGCCAGCTACTGGTCAAAGGACATTTAATCAACTACCAAGCTTGCAAATGTTGTGTTTTGTTTGTTTGTTTGTTAAAAAATGCAATACAGCTGTTTGGCTTGCTCCTGGTCCATTTTGCACCAATGGCAGGAAATTCACACTTCATCTGACCTCCCAAATCTGTGCAAAGTTCCTCAAACTTCACACTGAAGGAGAACTGAAAAGCCTATCTTAATCCTCTGGCTGATTATATCTTTTATCACAACTATTTATTGCATGTATTAGAGGCCACACTCCTAGGTCTCATTTCCCTGATTAGATTAGAAACTACGGCAAACCATTCACTAGGAAAAGGATTATGATAAAGCGGGTGATATCGAAGAGCACATCACATTGACATTGCCGGAAAAGGGTTCCTTATAAGGAAACGTTCCTTCTGAAATGATCTTGAAATAGCTTATATACAGGAGAATGAGCAAGAACGCTCTTGCCAACATGTTGCTTTATTGTTTCATATTATTGATCTACTAGCTGAGGTCCCCAGTGATGCCTGGGCTTGATCTTGTGTAACGATAAACATTAAAAAGTATTAATTTTTGGTGTGGACCCATTAGAAAATGCAAACGAGTGTGGGTGAACTACAGCTCCCATCACTACCTGTTATTATTCCAGCCCCACCAATAATTTTTGATATTGTAATGCATTGTTCTGGGGATGCTTTTACATAATCATAGTGTGGTTGTCAAGATCCAAAGTGTTTCATGGTTGAGTTTCAATAATACTGAAGTTTACTTGGTTTTTAGCAATGCAAGGGCTAGCTCATATAGTATTTAATGTAGTATTTTATGGTCGCATCTCACCATTGATTGATGTAGCATTTAAATGATTTATATCATATTTTAATAGTGTCTTTTGTATTGGATTCAATAATCTAGTTTTTATGCATTTGTTTGTTTGTCCTATACGTGAAAGACCTATGGTCTTGGTAGGAGTTGCTGTGTGCTCTGAAACCTGGGTCCATCTTGGAAAATACATAGATACAAATATGCATACATAGATAAATAGAAACATACATACATACAAACACTGACTTTTGCTATAAACTTGGGAAAAGTTGGGAAAAGTTGATTCAACTGCCTAAACTTTGTGTTTTTGCAGGAGAGCTATCATCATCCTGCAGCTGTGGTTTTGGCTCTAGTTTGTCAATGGCATCACGTCTCAACCAATTCAACAGAGTTTGTGCCGCAAACATGAAGTTTCTGGAGTAAAAAAAACTCCTATCCAAGGAAGTGCGCACAATGAAGCAGGAATCACATTTTCAAAGGAGGAACAGAAAAGTTTTCGGGTCGAGTTACATAGTGCTCGCTGAAATACAGGGCTGTGCAGCACTTTTGCAATCATGGTGCTTTACGAGGTCGTTATGGAGTTGATGAACAACTGCACTGCATCCTGTCAGATCCCCAAAATCTGGAGGAAAGCAAGAGTCATCACCATCTTGAAGCCAGGCAAAGACCGTAATGATCCAACAAGTTATAGACCAATCTCTGTGTTTACAAAGTTCTGGAGAGGCTTATTTTGCATAGAATTATGGAAAAAATAGACCCATGTCTGATTCCACAGCAAGCTGGCTTCAGGAAAGGCAAAAGCTGCACATCACAAGTGTTGAACCTAACTCAGCACATAGAAGGAGCTGTCTTCATAGACCTGTCCGCGGCTTATGATACTGTAAACCACCGCCTCCCCCTGAGAAAAATGTGTAATATCGCAAAGGATTACCACCTCACCCGCCTCATAGGAAACCTGCTACAAAACAGGAGCTTTTTTTTGTTGAGTTCTAGAGCCAGAGAAGCAGATGGCGGAAACAGAAGAACGGCCTGCCTCAGGGGAGCGTGCTTGCTCCATCAATGTTCAACGTTTACACAAATGACCAGCCACTGCCAGAAGGGACAGAGAGTTTTCTTCTATGCAGATGATCGTGCCATTACTGCTCAAGCAGGGAGCTTTGAGAGGGTTGAACAGAAACTCTCCAAAGCTCTAGGTGCTCTTACTGCTTATTACAGGGAAAACTAGCTGATCCCTAATCCATCTAAAACACAGACATGTGCTTTCCACCTTAAGAACAGACAAGCATCCCGAGCTCTGAGAATTACCTGGGAAGGAATCCCACTGGAGCATTGCAGCACACCCAAATACCTGGGAGTCACTCTGGACCGTGCCCTGACCTACAAGAAGCACTGCCTGAATATCAAGCAAAAAGTGGGCACTAGAAACAATATCACATGAAAGCTGACTGGCACAACCTGGGGATCACAGCCAGATACAGTGAAGACATCTGCCCTTGCGCTATGCTACTCTGCTGCGGAGTATGCATGCCCAGTGTGGAACACATCTCACCACACTAAAACAGTGGATGTGGCTCTTAATGAGACATGCCGCATTATCACAGGGTGTCTGCGCCCTACACCACTGGAGAAATTACATTGTTTAGCCGGTATTGCACCACCTGACTTCTGCCGGAAAGTAGCAGCCAATAGTGAAAGGACTAAGGCAGTGATGGCCCTGGCCCAAATTACCTGTCTGAACGCATCTCCCCCTATGAACCATCACGGAGATTAATTCTCCGGGGAGGCCCTGCTTTCCATCCCGCCATTGTCACAGGCACGATTGGTGGGGACGAGAGACAGGGCCTTCTCGGTGATTGCTCCCCGGCTATGGAACTCCCTTCCTGGTGAGATCAGGCTGGCTGGCCCCCTCCCTCCTGTCCTTTAGAAGGATGGTAAAAACTTGGCTGTGGAACCAAGCTTTCAGGACAGGGCAATGAAACGGCAATAGGAAAGATGACCAGGCCAATTGGATTTGATGCGGATGGCTAGGACGGTTTTAAATGGTGTATTTTAATATTTTGATAAATGTTTTTAATGTTTTAATGGCGAAGTTTTGGAAACAGGAAGATATCCCTACCACTGAAGAGTGGTTAGGGAAACTAAGAGAAATAAGAGAAATGGACGAATTAACTTTTTTCTTGAAAAAGAATACCGGGAACCCGATAAAGAGGACAGATTGGACTCTATATGAAAACTACGAAAAGGAAATAAATAAATAAGAGGAACATTATGAAGTGGATATAATGGAAATATCATTGAGGATACAACACCTGATGGAGAGATGGAAGTCAATTTTTATCTTATCTTTTTTCTCTTGTTTTTTTTAAAAAATATATATATTTTAGTATTTTTTGGTGGACTTGGGGGTAGGGGGATGTACTTCTTATTTTTTTTCCTACTTTCCTATCATCTTTTTAAATATTCTCCCTCTTTCGATGTTATTTTTAAAATCTTAATAAAAACTATTATTAAAAAAATGTTTTTAATGTTTATGTATTGTATGTGAATTTGTGTCCCGGCAAAGAATGTTTGCTGTGTATATGCTGTGCTCCGCCCTGAGTCCCCTTTGGGGTGAGAAGGGTGGAATAGAAATGTTTTAAATAATAATAAATAATAATCTCCAGCTCATCCCCTGTTTGGGTATCAGACAGCATGCCAACAACTTAAAACAAGGAATAGTTTTCTAAGATCTACAGAGACACTCGCTGGAACATCTCAGCAAGCGAGAGTCCAAAAGTGGCAGGCTCAAACCCAGAACCTCAATCAATGGCTGATACCAAATGAGAGACTCCCTCCTGGGCACACAGAAGACTGGGCGACTTTGAAGGCTCTGAACAGACTGCGCTCTGGCACCACGAGATGCAGAGCCAACCTTGAGAAATGGGGCTACAAAGTGGAGTCCACAACATGAGAGTGCGGAGAAGAGAAACCACAGACCACCTGCTGCAATGCAACCTACATGCACAATGGAGGGCCTTTTTATAGTAACACCAGAGGCACTCCAAGTGGCCAGCTACTGGTCAAAGGATGTTTAATAGAATACCAAGCTTGCAAACTTTATGTTTTGTTTGTTTGTTATATATTATAACTTTATTTGTACCCCGCTAGCATCTCCCGCAGGACTCGATGCGGCTTACACAGGCCGAAGCCTCAAAACACAGTACAACAAAACACAGTATAACAAAACAATACCTAAAGCAAATTAAAAACAGTTAAGCAGCAAAACAACAGCAATAACAATACGTCAAGACACTTTAAAACTGGACCAGCC